GGGCGCGCCTCCCTCGCGAGCCCGGCGTGCTCCCGGCGCTTCCCCGCGGAGTTCCCCGGATGCGGCCAGACTCCTAATGCGGTGGAAAGATCGGTAAACTGCGGAGGCCATGTGAGGGCCGGTGCAGCCAAATGTAAAATATGCAAGCGCTCGACCCGGAGTCAGCCCTGGGAACCGTCTAGAAGAAACGTGCACACATGTGACTCGGGGGGCACACAGAGGTTTGTAACAGGAAGCTTGGAGTGCCCAGATGACCACCCACAGGAAGTGGGTGCAGATATTAGCTCGGGCACACCCTCTAGAGGGGTCTCGCTGGCCACTCCTCCTCCTCACTCCTGCTGGACCTCTGGATATCCTTGTGTACGGCTTGGTCGTCAGCCCTTTTTGCTCTGTGTGGACAATGTCCAATCCGGTAGCCACCAGCTCCTCTGAGCGCTGGCCGTGGAAAGCACCGTGACTATCAAATGCACACCAAATCTCAGAGCCAGGCCAGAAACCCCGGCCAGCTCACCCCTGGGCTCCCACATTTTGCTCCAGCCGGCTAAGTGAACACCCTGAGCCAGCACCAGGCGCATCTCCAGCATCCCAGCCCCCTGCTCCATTCCCAGGACTTCCCACTGTCCAGGTGTGAGTGGGCCGAGGCCCTGGGTCTGTGGGCCTCCTGTCAGCCTAGGCCCACTATTCCGGCTTTGGCTTCAAGCCAGGAGGCCAAGAAGGCAGTGACCTCTGTGGTCGCTCTGAGCACGCATGGCAATTCTGGTGGCCGGCCTGCCCACTCCCTCCTCTGGTCTCCAGACTCACAGGGGCCTCTACTTGGTAGGACGTGAATTTGGAAGCCCCTGTGACCCTGCCCTGGGAGCTAGACAGGTGGCACAGTATGGTGACAAGGCAATTGGGATGTTGCTATAGTGACAGGGATGGAGGCCTTTTGCCATCAGCCCCAGTTTTCTGCATGGCAGCTCTAATGACAGCACGACCAGCCCTGCTGAGGCTAGAGGCCCGGCTCCTGGTTGCCATGGCAGTGCAGCCCTCTCGGGAGCACTCCCCTCCGCACACCTGGTCAGAGCAGGAAGTACTGGGCGGTGACTGAGCTACGGGAAGCAGGCTGAGATGTGAGAGAACCAGTCACCTGCAGCCTAATTACTCAAACGCTGTCCCCAGCCACAGGACTGAGGGGAGCTTTTCTGCTGAGTCTGTCTAGAGGCCTGCACACCAGCACAGCTCAGTACAGCCTGGAGAGAAAGCTGACCAGCACTGGCCAGCCCCGGAGCCCAGCAATGGCCCTACCCCAGCCACTTCCGGCCTGACAAGACCTTGGTGGGCACGGGTCCCAGGTGTGGCCCAGGAGACAAGGCTCACCGGCTTGCTAGGAACAATGAAAAGGAAGAAAGTGTAATTGAACCTCCAGTCAGAAAGCAGCCAAAGGTAGACTGTATTCTCCTAGACACCCTGGCCGGCGTGACCCTTGATCGGGAGAAGCCTGGGGTCATTTCTGCTTCGGAAACCTGTGGGGAAACACTGAGGGGTCCCAGCTCACGGGAGCTGGCTGCTGTGCCAATGCCGGATGACAGAGCCAGGATGGAGAACACCAAGAAGGAAAAGGTAGTTCGCTGCCTCACCTGGTTCTAGAAGCCTTTGTCATGTGTCCCCATGTTCAGCGACTTGTTTAGCACAGACAGGCGTTTCCGCCTCAGAACTTGATTGTATGCACAGGCCTTTGGGGACGACGTGCTGGGAAGGGGACCGAGGGTGCTGGCTTTGTTGGGCAGAAAGGTCCTTCTTCTTAGCAGAGCAGGTCCCTCCCACCGCTTCCGGCTCCTCGCTGACCAGGGAGTTAGGTGGCCAGGAGGTCCCGAATACCTTCTGTTAGTCAGAGGGTCTGGGGAGCTTAGAGCCCCAGCCGGGGGCCGGGCCGGGGGGGTGGGGTGGAGCGTGGGGCCTGAGTGGCAGAACCACCTGCCCAGATGCAGGACAGCACTCAACAGACCTGACAGGTCTCGGATGCCCACGCTTCCTCCAGGAAGTCTTCATCGGGGGCGGGGGCCGATGTCCATGGTGAGCCGCAGAGAAGTTACCTTTTCCAGACATCATCTGAGCCAGCCCTGTGCCCTGTAGCAGGCAGGGAGAGTGAGCAGGCGACAGGGCAGAGGGGGCAGCATGCCCGCAGCCCTAGGCCAGGGCCAGGTGGAGTGGGCAGCTCCAGCAGATGGCCGGGGTCCAGTCCCTTTGGCATAATTCCCTCCTCATACGTCGTGCCGCCTTCTGCGAAACAACGAGGTCAGCATAAACCCCGCGCTAGTTCCGCTCCTGGTAGCGCCGATGATGTCAGGAGGAAAACAGCCAGCCCGAGTCAGGGCGCCACAGCTGCAGGCAGCGAGACGGGCCAAACCCGGGCAAGGCCCGTGTCTGCCGGTCACTGGGGCTTTGGCAGGAGTTTGGATGAGAAATCTTGCGTGAAGGGGCCACAGGAGGCCACCTGGGAGAAGCGAGGTGATGTCTCTGGCATGAGCAGAGAGAGGGCTCGGTGGCAGTGTGATGTGGGGCCTGTGGCCTGCTGTGGGGCAGTGGTGCTGAGTACCCACTCCTAGACTCGGGCTGGCCCACGTCCCTCTCATTGCTCCCAGGGGACACAGTGCCCCACAGGATAAGCCGTTTCTGTTCCAGAGTTGAGGGGGTGCTGGTCCCTGTTCAGAAGCCAGGCCAGGGTCACTGACACCTGTCAGGGCTGAGAGTAGGGTGAGGTGTCGCCTGTGGCACACGCTTTAAGGGGGCACAAAAACAGTCATCCAGATAAATACTGTAATGCAAATTCTAAAGAATGAAAATTAACACAGAAAATTATGATGAACAAAATACCAAAATTCTAAAGAACGATGGGACGAGTGACGCCAATTTTTATTTTTCACTTGGCTCAGCCCTGTGCCGGCCACTCATGCAGCCAAGAGCCAGTGAGGGGTCTAGGGCCGCACCGTTGATGCCTGTCCCCCTGCCTGCTCAGACTGGGCAGAGAGCCCACCTCTCGTTTGGGGAGCCAGCTGGGTTTCAGGGTCACCCAAGGGATGTCAGTTTGGCTGCCAGGCCTATCCAGGTCCAGCCCTACCTCCACCCCAATCCAGCATCTGGCCTGGAGCCGGGAGCCCTGTTCACACTTTCAGAGTTGTCACCCACAGGTCCACTGTGGCTGGGTCCAGAGCAGGCCCCAGCAAGAGGGCGTCTGGTTGGTTTGCAGGGAAGTGAGCAGTGCTGGTCCCCTCCTTCCGGGAGCTTGGTTCCTCTCACTCGTGCTGCCCTTTTGGACCTCCCCTGTGGTCATCGTTCTGTCATCCATAGAGTGTGTGGCCTCAGTACCATTCTCAGTGGCTTTCCCGCGTAGGCGTCAGCTCGCACCATTTCTAGAGGTCCTTGAGGCAGGTCTGCTCCTCCTGGCGCTGTCTGTCCCCTCCAGCCTGTGGCCGCCCGGAGCCCAGCAGGGCGGGTTCATTCTCAAGCTAGGGAGCACCACCTCTCAAAGGCCACCACTCGGGCCCTGGGATCCCCTTGGAAGTTCCTGGTCTGTACGTCCCCCTTCCTCATCGGGGCCCTTCTGCTGGCCCAACGCCCCACGGGCCCCTGGCAGGCAGCAGACACGGGCCCCAGAAATGCAGATGGTTGGCTTTGTTTGGTGCTTTCGGGGGCATTTTTCAGGAGGAAAGTGGGAGGACGACACTCGGGCATGTTAGCCAGCTCCGGTGCCTTGACGAAATACTGTGGATGGTTGTTCCTCCCACTCTGGACACTGGACATCCGAGATCAGGGCGCTGCATGGCTGGTCCTGGCGAGGGCCTCTTCCTGGCCTGCAGACGCCACCTTCCTGCTGGGTCCACACAGGGCTCCGGCTTCGGCAGAGCTGGAGCAGTAGGCAGCCTGAGGTCGGGAGCGGAGGATCCTGGCCCCTCTCAGGTGCAGATCTGTGCTCTGTTAACCAGAGGAGGTCTCCTGGGGACTGGGTTGTCACACGCAGAGCCGCTGCTCTGTGGGAGGCGGTGCCCCACCTGTCTTGCAGGAGCGAGTCCCTTGTCCGAGGTGAGGCACGAGGGGGCTGCAACAAGGACCACCAGGGCCCAGTAGCCCTGGTCCTTCACCCTCAGGGGACAGCCTGCTGCAGGGGGAGCCTGGGGAACACTGCAGCTCCCCAGAGACCCCGTATCTCTCCACCCCGCAGTCAGACCCTTCAATCTGTCCAGATTCATCTGTGACACTTCTTTAATTTTTAATTATAGTTAACGTGCGTGCAATAAGATTCACCTTCTTAAGTACAGTTCGATGAGTTTTGTCAAGCATATACAGTTTTGTGACAGCCATCGCCATCAAGACGCAGAATCTTTCTGTTACTCAAAAAGTTCCTCGGGTCCCACCTCCCTGTCAGTCACCTCCCCCCACTCCCAGACTCTGGGACCCAGTGGTCTGTTCTCTGCCCCTTGGTTTTGCCTTTTCTGTGTAAATGGAGTCACTAAGCTGTAGCCTTTTGTGTTTGCCTTCTCTGCTTAGCATGAAGGGGTGCTTCTACCCGCCGCATGCCTGCTCACCACCGCTCCATCTCTGGGCGGTCCCCACTGCAGGGGTGCACCCATCTGCGTACTGCCAGCTGACAGGCCTGGGGGATCCAGGTTTGGCTGCAATGACAAAGGTGTGAACACTCAATACAGGCTTTTTATAGACTCGGTTGTCATTTTGGGGCATAAATATCTAGGAATGGTGTCATGTGGGAAGCGTGTGTGTAACCTTAGAAGAGACTGGACCGTTCTGCCTTCCCAACAGCAGTGGGAAGATTCTGGGTCCTGCACACCCTCCTGGCACTTGGTTTCGGCTCCCCTTTAAACTGGGCACGCAGCGGTACGTCACGCGGCTTCTGTTTGCATTTCACTGATTGACAGACAAGTGATGAGCGCGTTTGCCTAGGCTTCTGGGCGCACTTCCGGGAGGCTCTCGAGATTGGGTTCTTGTCTTCTGGAGCTGTGAGAGTTCTTTGTATATTCTGAACAGCAGGCATTTATCAGGAGGGTTCTGCCAGGAGGCGAGAGAAGATATTCAGAGACCCCGAGGGGCCCGGGGCTGCCTCTCAGCCCATCCGGGTGCTCCCACTGCCCACGGCCTGAGCTCGCCCTTCCCCACAGCCGACCCCCAGGGCCTAGCGGTTCCCCCGCCCCCGGGCCTCCAGAGGAAGGCCACTGGCTGACAGAGTGCCTGGGTTTGAACCTGGTATTCGTGGCATGACACGGGAACACTTCATCTCCTGTGGCTCCACGACTGTGCCGGGCACTCCCCGGGTTTTTCTGTCTTCTTGAGTCCACTTTGATAATTGTATTTTTAAAACATCGTCCAGTTTCTTTCCATTTTAAAATATATTGAAGCGAGTCTTATATGCGACCCCTCTGAGACCCTTCGAGCTCCTCTCTGTCTGGGATTATGCCCTCGGAGTTGCTCACTGCTGTCTTCCTTCATCCCGATCGCACGTCTGCATGTTTGCTGTCTTGTGGGTGCTTTTAAGGAACTGGGTTTGGGGTTTGTTAATCAAGTTTACTGTTGTTTTGTGTGTTTTCTTTACAATTCATTTCTGCTTTTATCATTATCGATTCCTTTATTCTAATTTTCCTTAGGTTTACTTAATCTTTTGTGTTTTTTGGGTTTTTTTTTTAGCATCTTGAGAGAAATGCTCGTAGATTGTCCATTTATTTTGTCACATGTGCATTTAAGAGTGTGAACGTCCCTGTGAGTCCTGCTCTGCTGATGAGCCATGCTCTGTATGCTTGCTTCACTCACGGCCATCCATCTGTAAAGGGTCTGTGGTCCAGCTCAGATTCCGTTTCAGCCCCAGTGCCGCTGCCAGCGGCCTGTTAGCTGGGGTGCCCTCTGCAGGAGTTCAGTTCAAGCCACTCTAAAGATCTGCTTCTCTCCAGATGCCTCTGGCGTCATCCTGCGGCCTCTCTATCTGGAACGCCCCTCTCTACCCGGCCACTTCTCTTCAAGCACCAAGGGCTGCAGGGAGGAGTCTTAAGAAACCCTGTCCTTGGCCCCCAGAAACCTCGTCGGTCTGCCCCATGTCCCTCAGGGAGCCCAGCCTGGCTGGTGTCTGTTTATACAGCTCCTTGTCTTTTCTGCAGGACTGTGAGGGCTTGAGAACTAAAACCTAGTCACTTTTGTACCCTCAGACGGAGCACAAGCAGGTACTCAAACATTAAATCAACGAGTGATCCAAAACCCCCTTGCAACTTCCATTTCTGGTCATTGATGCCATCATTCTGAATGTTAATTACCGCACACCTAATTGCTGTAACCAGTCCACCAAAACAGGAATGGGGTCTGCCTGGTAGACTTGCAGTTCTTGCTCAGGCGACGGTCGGCCGCGGGGGTCCTCCACACGGTGACCCAGAGGTCCAGGCGTCTCCCATCTCGGGGCTTCGCCGCCTCACTCTCCCTGTGTGCAGCCCACAGAGGCACGAGGGTGTCCTGGAGAGGGGCTCTCTCCTTTAAAGCCCGGACCTGGAGCTGGCGGGCAGGCCCCTGCTCAGGCTCCCCGGTACGCCTCCCTGCCGAGGGGCCTGTGGCCACCCCGTGTGCTCTGCTGTCTCTCACCTCCTCTGTCCCTTGTCCTAACCCTGACTGCCACGTGCATGTGTAGTGTACACACTTAGGACGAAGAATGGATCACCTCGTATCCCATAACTGTTTCCCTCTGTTCTACTCATCTATGGCTGTGGGAAAAATTACCTCAGAACTTAGTGGCTTAAAGAAAAAGAACTCGGGGGCTTGAGACCACTGACCACTGCCATCTCCCATCTCTGCGAGCCAGGGCTGCACTGCAGGACAGCACGGCAGCGCCGGGCTCCGGGCTGAGGTCGCGCTGGCAGGGCCACCTCACCAGAGGCTCCAGGGGGCTTGCTGGTGTCTCCACAGTCACTTGCTTGCCGCCCGGCAGTCCACGGTGCCCACTGGCAGGAGGCCTGAGTCCTCACGGCCTGGCACTGCTCCCCAGAGTGACGGACCCAAGAAAGGACAAGGCAGGAGCTTCAGAGTCACACTCGTTATGTCGGCGTGGGCGACACGTGGGGCTGACACCCAGAAGTGAGGCTCACGGGGCCTCCCAGATGGCAGATGCCACGTTCTGCCAGCAGCCGGTCGTGGGCCAGCCACGTGTGCATCTGCAGCCAGTGCTTCCAGGCCCTCGGGCAGCTGTGTCCACACTGCGGCGACCAGGCCGGTGGCCCGTGTATTCCTAGGGAAGAGGATGCCCTCACCACCATCCGCAGACCTGCCTCACGAGGAGCCACAGCACACTGGCAGACCGGCTGCCCGCCGCGTAGGCCTCAGGGACCCCGGAAGCCGGAGTCCCCAGGACATGTACCGTCAGATGGCGGCGGCAGCCCTGCCTGGGACCTGGGGTTTGTTCTGGCAGGAGACCCCCCGTGTTAGAATGCAGCCATGAGCCCTGACGGCCTTCTGGTGAGCGAGTGGGAGTGCAGCTGGAGGGACAGGCTCTGTCTGCGCTCGGTCCTCCTGCGGCCTGACCTGGTGCATGGGAGGCTGTCGGGCTCCGGTTGGTCCTTCCGGCCAGTGTGCAGGCATAGCAGCACGAGACTCTTCCGTAGCTGGGTTCTGGGCTCCAGGAGGGCCGGGGTCAGCCCAGCGGGGTCGGCAGGAGGCTTCGGCTCTGCTCAGTGTCCTCACCTGTAAGCAGCAGAGACAGCAGAGCGCCGATGTCTGGGTGACAGTGGGAGGGTGCCCTGCGCACAGCCCCGAGGGTGGAGGGGACCAGGCAGGCCAGAGCACCCTCCTCTTGAGGTTTCATGCTGACAAATGTGGTGTCTGCAGCCCAGAGGCAGCTGAGGAAGTGACTTGCACCCACCCGGGAGGACACTGTCCGCCACGGGAACTCAGCACCGTCCCCAACCCCTGCCCCCAAGAACGGAACATGTGCACAAGTGTGTGTGCAGGTGGGGGGCATCCCACAGACCCGAGGTGAGGGCGTGTGACGGGGCATCTCCTGTGGGACCCCACTGCCCAGGGACAGGCTCCCCGACCCTACAAATGCCGCCCACAGTGGGCAGCTGGCCCCAGCCCCAGTGAGGATGCAGACCTGCTCTTACGGAACCCCGCGGAAACCCAGTCTTTCTGTAAAGACTCTGTGTGTAACTTCGCAGCAAGTGTGAGCATCTGCGGACCTTGTGCAGGACAAGTCAGACCCACGGGCAGCTGCAGCCGTTTGCCGACCAGCAGCAAGTCCTAGTGAAGGTCGCCTCTCGCTGGTTCCCTGGCGCTCAGACGTCCTCAGGGAGCTCCCGGCGGAACCCCAAAGGCCCTGTCCTACGGTGTCCTGGCATCGGTGCCCAGTCTGGCAGGTGGGCATGGGGTCTTCTCGAGTCTGCACCTGGCCAGCATTGCATGTGCTTCTTAAGCGCAAGGAGAGAAACTGCCAGATCGAAACTGTGTCGCTAGCACTGGCTGGCCTCCGACCGGTGGTGGGCTTCGTCTGGCCCCCGGAGTTCACAGATGGGCTTTCAGGCCCTGGTGCACCATCGGCCGCCCGGAGGCGGGCCACGGCACCTCTGGCCCAGGACCCTGATGTGTCCGAGTGCATGGCGCTGGGCGGGCCTGAGGGCTCGGCGTCTGCGGGACCTGTATCACACTTGGGTAGAGCTCGTGGATGTCTTGTCACCGGTCCCTGTGACCAGCTCTGTCTCAGGGGAGGTGCCCTCAGGGGCTGTGACAGCAACCATCCTGCAGCTTCGGTGTGACTTTCAGAGCCTGTCCTCGGCGGCAAGGTGGGCAAACCCTCGCCAGCATGCTGGGTGTGAGGCAGCGTGCAGAGCACTCGGCTCAGGGCCCGACACGCTATCTTGTGAAAGCGTGTGACAGGACCGAGGAAGCAGAGTGGTGGGCGTGGGGTCTGAGGACAGCTAGACACTTCAAGGCGCGCTGAGGGCCCCGGGCTGCACACCCACCGGTGCCAGGGCTGTGGACAGCGCCGGCCCAGCAGACACTGCTGTTCGAGTCTGTCATAGACCTTGTCAGCCCACCCTGTGTGGCCCTCCTGGGCTGAGCTTCTAAGCCGCGTGGTCTCGATAGGACATGTGGCTCTTCCGTGAGGGTTTGTGTCCACGAGGATACAGGCTTTGGGCTTTGGGCTGCAGGAAACCAGACGCCCTCACTGTGGCTTCTGCGACGCGTGCTCCCACAGCCTGCGCATGGAGGGCCGGGTCTGGGGGGGTGCTCAGCGCCTTGGTGATGGCGTCCGGCCGGGCCCCTCTGCCGCTCCTCTCCGCCACCCCTGCCTTGCTCACACCTCTTCCCGTGGCCTTGAGTTTGTGCAGTGCCGGCCGGCACACCCCTACACAGCTGTGCTCACACGCTCAGAGGGCGCCCACCTTCCCAGAGGCCTTGCCCTGCTGAAGTCAGGCTTCCCTTCACCTGTCCTTGGCCAGAACTGGGCCCCCTTCCAAGTCCAAACCAAATCGCCAGCACAAGGGCCGGATCCAGGTGTGTCACCCTGAGCCCGCGGGGCCGACAGCAGCACGAGGTTTTGTGCCAGGCGGACCCACGGCTTTCGTCAGAGAAGCTCTCCTTTCCTTTTTCTTCCAATAGCCAGTGAAGCCAAGTGGCCTTCTCTGCGGGCACGTGCACTGCTGTGCAGGGGGCAGGGGCGCCATGCCTCCACCCACACACAGGGCCAGAGCAAGGTCAGGGGTACCTAGGGGCAGCCGCGCTCAGGAGGGTGGGAGGAGACCCACCCAGGCGCCCTACTCACAGGAAGGGAGTCTCAGAGCTTTCCTGGCTGTGAACGGCCAAGCCTTAGCCAACCAGCACCCCACAGAGTGCTGCCTGCACCACCCTGAGCACACCGCCCCGGGCACAGGGTCCAGGGCACACAGCCCTGAGCACCCTGCCCCTGGCACAGGGTCCAGGGCACACAGCCCCGAGTACACTGCCCAGGCACAGGGTCCAGGGCACACTGCTCAGGCCGGCCGTTGACCCCTCGGCGCCAATCCCGGAGGTGGAATAGCCAGGGCTTTCGCACGGTCATGCCAGCTGCCGGACGCCCTCCAGACAGGGTGTCCAGCCTGTGTTTCAGCCACTCCCCTGCTTAGCGCCTTCTCCTGGCTTTAGACCCCACATCTGCCCTCGACCCCTCATCCTCCCACAACTGGGTGCACTGGTGAGGGGGCTGCGCCTACAACTCTGCTGTTCTAATTTCTGAAGTGATTTTAACTGTGCTGGCTGGAATGTTGGGTCACCCTGGACCAGAGCCAGAGGGCAAAGAAGACCCCCCTGCCCTGAGTCCCCGCCCCCACTCAGCCATCCCCTCCCGCGCAGGTCGAGCAGATCCTGGCGGAGTTCAGGCTGCAGGAGGAGGATCTGAAGAAGGTGATGAGGCGGATGCAGAAGGAGATGGACCGAGGCCTGAGGCTGGCGACTCACAAAGAGGCCAGCGTGAAGATGCTGCCCACCTATGTGCGCTCCACTCCTGAAGGCTCAGGTACCGGTTGCCAGGCCCCTCCGAGGCTCTGCCACCCCCAACAGGCGCCCAGCAGCAGGCCCGGGGCCCTGCTGCCCAGTGCTGGCATCCTCAGCAGCCCCTGGCCTCAGGACTCTGCCTTTTTCCGTCCCACAGAGAGAATGTGCTCCCTGTGATCACTGCCCCCACCCCCCAAATCCCGAGTCTGAGCCATTTCACTAGTTTTTTGGTTGGGCCCTGGATTTGGTGCAACTTCAGTCCAAAGCAGGGGTTCCCAGCAACTTCCTAGTTCACCTCTGACCCCTTCCAGAGCTGACCATCTGTCATTGTAGCCCCTTGTCCAGCTCCTCTGGCCCCCATGCCTTCCCCTCCACCTTTTCCTGCTGCCAGCGCCCCCGAGGCTGACACGCTTCTCCCTGTGGCTGCAGAAGTTGGGGACTTCCTCTCCCTGGACCTGGGTGGCACCAACTTCAGGGTGATGCTGGTGAAGGTGGGAGAGGGTGAGGCAGGGCAGTGGAGCCTGAACACCAAGCACCAGATGTACTCCATCCCCGAGGACGCCATGACGGGCACTGCTGAGATGGTGAGCAGCTGCGGCGGGCCGTGGTCAAGGCTGCCAGGGCCTCGGAGCTTAGCCAGTCCCGGGGGAGGGTCACCAGCCTCAGACGGCCCAGGCGGCAGCTGAGAGGCCTAGATACATGGCCCACAGGCGTGGCCCCAGCAGGTTACACCCTGCCTCATTCCCAGAAGGAGCTGACACCTGACAGGGCAGCCGAGACACGCTGGTCCCGCCAGCACGCAGCCCACGTGGCTCGCCCCCGTGCCATGTCGCCCCCTCACCCTCCACCAGCATGGACGCCAAGTGGGGTGACCGCAGTCTTATATATAAGATCTGCCCAGGCGCAAGGCCGCCCTGAGCATGAGGGGACCCTGGAGGGTGCTAGAGAAGGGGTCCTGGGGGCTCCGGGGCAGGGTTCCAAGGCAGCAGGGATGCCATTGTGCCCCACCAGTCATTCCACGGGGCATTCAGCAATGCCCAGCTCTGCGGATGAGCCCACGTGAGCCCCAAGTGGGGGCTGGTCCTTGAGAGGGGTGGGGCTGGGTGGCCAGGGCACTTGGAGGCAGTGAGGGCATTCTGGCTACTGGGGACAGAAGGCAGAGTTAAGGCCCGGGAGGCGCGTCTGTCCAAAGCCTGAGGCCGGACGTCACTATGAGAGAGCAGGACTGCTCTGGGGATCAGCTCTGGTGCCACCCCGTCCAGGCGCTGCCATCAGCAGGACTCTGGCGTGGGGCCGGAGGGGGAGCTGAGTGTGGACGCGGGCGGGCAGTGTGCCGCGGCCGCCCAGAGCTGTGGCTTGGCTCTTCCAGCTCTTCGACTATGTCTCCGAGTGCATCTCCGACTTCCTGGACAAGCACCAGATGAAGCACAAGAAGCTGCCCTTGGGTTTCACCTTCTCCTTCCCCGTGCGGCACGAGGACATCGACAAGGTGGGGCGGGGGGCAGGCAGGTGGCCGGGAGTGGACCCCGGGGAGAGGTGCCCATGAACCGCACATACAGCCCCACGCCGGGAAACCGTGGCTGTCACCTGTGAGGTGGGGAACAAGGTCGCCAGTTCTGTTTGCCAGGAACCTCCCCGTAACCTATGCGGTGTGACTGTTACGACCCCCATTACAGATAGGGAACCGCGTCAGCAGCCTGTCCGCCGTGGGAGGTGGCAGCTGGGGCTCTGGCAGGCAGCTCCAGGACACCTGCGTGTCCTCGCTGTGCTGGGCCACCTGCTCGGGGGCTGAGGGGGTACGCTGCCTTCAAGCTGGAAGTCAGCTACGCGCTGGCACAGCTATGCGCACGTACACATGCCAGCTACGCAGACAGACATGGACGTCAGTTACGTGCACACCTTGATTGTACATACGAATGCACATGTCAGTCGGTTCTCATGCCGGCTTTTTCTGTCGCGTCCCCACAGCGTGCTGAGCGCCACTGGGCACCTTCCCATTGGGCTGCCCCCCAGCCGCACCCCCACACTGGACGGTGCCTCTGGGCTTTACTAGACAAACACCCTTAAGTTTGCTGGGCCCAGCTCCGCAGCTATGGGGACTTGTGTGCAGCACCTCTGGAACCGTGTGAGCTGCAGATGGTGCACGTCCCTGTGGTCCGAGTCAGCTCCCTGCCCTTCACCCTGGCCCGGCCCTGTCCCCACAGGGCATCCTTCTCAACTGGACCAAGGGCTTCAAGGCTTCCGGGGCAGAAGGGAACAACGTCGTGGGGCTCCTGCGAGACGCCATCAAGCGGAGAGGGGTGAGGTGGCGCCTGCCCCAAGGCTGCCCTGGGCCCTCCCCCCACCTCAGGCCAGGAAGCCGGGAGGGCCTTCGGGGTGTCCCCCCAGGAAGGGGTCTTGGCCTCCCTCACCGATGGCCTGAGACCCCTGACTCCATCACCACCACCTCCGTGCCTCTTGGCAGGACTTTGAGATGGACGTGGTGGCCATGGTGAACGATACCGTGGCCACAATGATCTCCTGCTACTATGAAGACCGCCAGTGTGAGGTCGGCATGATAGTGGGTAAGGACACCGCTCTGCCCATCGTGGCTGAGGCCCCATCTGCTGCGCCACCTGCCTCTGCTCGGCCCATGCAGCCACACTCAGGATGGTACTCTGTTTTCACCAATCCAAGACGCTTAGTGATTTATGAGCAGAGGGCCCCATGTGTTCACGTTGTACAGCGCCCCGAGAACTGCGAAGTCCACAGCCAGTCCCACTTGTAGTAGGCTGGGTGCTGCTCCCAAGGGCCCACTTCGGGAGCCCCTCAAAAACAGGGTCCAGGACAGAGAAGCTCAGATGCGTGCATGGAAAGTGCCAGAAAACAAGGGTGGAACAGACAAAATCACGACACCCCACGCCCATCTCTAGTTGGCAAAGCAGTTTGACATGTTTCCCTTGGTCCTCCCAGCACCCAGACAAGGGAGGAGAAGGTGTAACCATCCCCTCCTGGGGAAGATGAACAGCCCAGAGAGGTGGGTTCACCTATCTGAGGCCACACAGCAAAGCCGGGTCTTTGCGCCCGGGGGAACCTTCGCAGGCGGGGGGTGGGGGTCAGGAGGAGGACGGCAGGGCCACGGGGGCCTCCTGCAGGTAGGGATGGTGGGGGCACCCAGGAGACCTGGCTTCGGCTGGGCCTGAAGCTGTCGGACGCCCCGCCCAGGCACGGGCTGCAACGCCTGCTACATGGAGGAGATGCACAACGTGGAGCTGGTGGACGGGGACGAGGGCCGCATGTGCGTCAACACCGAGTGGGGGGCCTTCGGGGACGCAGGCGAGCTGGACGAGTTCCTGCTGGAGTACGACCGGATGGTGGACGAGAGCTCGCTGAACCCGGGCCAGCAGCTGTAAGCAGCGGTGCGGACGGGGCCAGCCGTGCGGACGAGGCTTGTTTTTAACCCGGTCCGGGTGAAGGCGCTTGACAGGCTCTTCCTGCAGCGCGCATGCGCGCTGTGCCCTCCGTGAACCCGGAAGCCGGGCGCGAGCCCTGGGCCCTCAGAGGCCCGGGGTAGATGGCTGGGACCCCTTGCTCCCACAGGCACAGGGAGGCCAGCACCACGGCAACCCGAGCTGGGTTCAACCCAGAGGTCCCCAAAGCGCAGACGTGCCCACGCTCCCTGGGCTGGTCAGGGATCGCACCAGCAGGGTCCCCTCAGAGCCACCGCTGTGCGCCAGGCGCCAGCGAGTTCCTTGCATTAGCTCCATCTCCGGCTCGCAGAGGCCTCCGCTGGGTGGGTGGGACTCAGAAGCACGGAGGCCCACCCTGCATTCCGGGGTGCACCGGCCCATTTGAGCCTTGGTTTCCCCAAGTGTACGTGGGTGGTAAAAACAGCCCCCCAGCACATGGCTGTGGGCGCCCCTGAGTGGACGCAGCACAGGGCCGGGCCCCGGAAGGCCTCAGAGGGACTGGAGAGGGTCCCGCAGGAATGGCAAGGGGGATGTTAGCGCCGCACGTGGCCTCCTTGTGGCCGCGGGCTCTGCCTGCTGGCGGGGACACGCTGCCCGGTGACGCGCG